GGTATTTTATAATTGCCATTCATGCTGCTCCTTGTCACTCTATTACTGTCAGAATATGAATATATTCTGTCCTCAAATTGCAGTTCCAAGTTCACTTTTTTTTCCTTTTTTACCAGTGATGTATGGATATTTACATGGCTGTAGTCATGGAGTCAACACTTGGGGGGACCAAATCTGCCAGCAGGGGCAGATGTTTTTCTCCTCCAGAAAAACATTCAAAATTTGAAAACTCAGTTCCCACTACATTACATTATTAATCATGAGCAAGTACAGCTATACAGTGTACTATAATGAATATGTAACAAATGAAAGCTACTACTGTCTACATAAATTACACAAGCAGCGCAACAAAAATAATTAACACTTTACTCAGACTTCATGAGGGCTAGCCTACCGACAAATATAATGTAATAAAGACATGAATATGCCCGTGAGTTGTGTTCTGCTGGGGTATGGCAACACCACTTGGACAAACCACACGTAGAACTGCTGTTTTAGTAGAGCTGGGAGTAATAATAATGGGAATTTGTTAAGTTTATGATTATAATTACATTTGCAAATGATTGTTTAGGACAGTAGTGCATGGCTACCTGTATAATTAAGTCTATTTAAGTCTTATAACCATATTTGAATACTGGAGGGATGCATCCCCTCAATATATATTAAAATCACTGCCTTAAATATTTATTGAAAATTAAAATTCCCTTTGAGCAGTTCAGTGTGAGAGCCTTTCCCCACACTATAAGACTGATAGGATCAAGAACACGAGGATCAACCTCAATTACAGCTCAATCATATGAAAAAAAAAAGTTTTACCTTACATGTTTGATATCACTGGAAATATTTAAGTCTTCACTAGAATACATATAGATGTAAGTGATGTTTGGCTAAGTGATGTACCTTTGAATGATATTCATAGTGGGTCCAGCAGGGTTAATGATGTTAATCGCACATGGCTTTGATAGCCTATCGTAAAGCAATAAAGAGGATACCAGATAAAACAATTCTTCTGATCTGTCAAAAGACCAGGATCTTTTTAAATAATGTGTTTCAGGTGATGCGTTTTTGCTGCTCTTTGGCTTCTGAGAACACCCATTTCCTTAATAACAAAAATGCAGACTACTTAGAGGGCCTGGCTGTAAAACAGGGGGGGGGGGCTTTGCCTCCATGGTACAACATTTTATTTATGAGCATCTGCGACAGGGCATGAAATCCAGCAGGAATGTGCTTCACGATCTGTGGCGGCACCAGGACTTCACTGGACCTGCTGTGAGCGGAATTCTGTAAGGTCAGAGGGTCATCGAGGATCAGTGTCACTGAGGCAGAGGTCACATCCACATGGAGTGTGACAGACTGAGCTGTGCGGCTGAGTCATATAACTTGGACTCGTGTCAGCCTTGAGTCACAAATTTGATGAAATTATACTTGTCAACATTTAAAAAGACTTGAATTGGACTCAAACACCAATGACTCGTGACTTTACTTGGACTTGAGTCTATTGACTTGAAAATACTTGATACCTTCCCCCAAGCAAATCTATAAAGAGGAAGTAGACATTTGTTTTCAATGTGAGATGAGTTAAATACAACAAGACAGGATAGAAACATACAAAAGTCATTCTGTTATGGCAATGGTTCAAAGTGCTAAATCAAGGTGTAATGTCAGCACTACTTTTTTCTGATCTGTTAAAGTGTCATGAAGAGTGCATTATGACTTGTTTAGGACTCAAAACTCAAAGTTAAGGACTTGGGACTTGACTTGAGACTTACCTGTGACTTGCAAAACACACAAGCGTCCCACCCTGTCGCTTTTACACAAATGCTGATTTGGGGCTGTTAGTGCCTCCGCTGCAAGCTTAAAAGCAACATATTTCTGTCCCCCCATTCCTCAATCATACCTTTAATACAGAACAGCGAGGCGGCACAACAGCGTGATATTCCTGCCTTGAACAGGCAGTGTAAAAGAGGCTAATGATTTGTTTCCACCTCTGGTGACAGAGGTCTGCTTCAAAGTCCCAGCCTCATGACACAAGGCGATACTGCAGCTCTACTTAGTCCCACAAGAAGGTACATTTTATCCAGATACTGGGACTCACATCCATTTCAGGACTGCTAGAGTCATGAACTATCCACCCTTGGCTCAAGGTAGGTGTGTGATTGCCTGTTCATTCTTTAATACTCTGTTCATTACTTGAAGTACGCAACGCACCAGGTCATCACACAAAACCTTGTACCGACTGATATTTTGTGCATCAGGCCTGAAATGAATCAATGTCAAAACTCTTTGCTTTCTCATGCTTTCAGTGAGCACTTCAGTGAGGATATTACAAGAACGTAAAAGGCCAGTGTTCAATAGAGTCTCTGTTTATCTTATTTTCCTCATCTTATTTATCTATTTGCTGCACATTTGGACACTGTGTGACCCCGATCACTACCTCCTGTATCATCTAAAATTATCAAAATAAAGTGTGGTAAAGGAGAATCAAAGGGTACACAAAAGCCACAGATCAGCTAAAAGCCTTCAGTGATGCAGGACTGGAAATCAATGCATTACGATAAAGTCTTCATCAGGGTTTGTGTAATTGAGAGCCATTGTTTACTGTGATTTTATTTACAACGCAACTTCTTCAACTAACACTGGGTAGGCAATTAACTGAAAATCCACTGTCTGGCATTATGGTATCATGTTGCAATGGCATGTTTGTTCATTTTTGTCTGAATCACAAACAGCCTTGATACAGCAATCTGTTGTCTCTCTGCCAATCATAAAAATCTATATTCAGTGTCTGTTTGCAGACACTTGTTTGTGTTCCTCAGAACAAAGAAAAAAATAGAAATAGTGTTACATTTCCCAGCCTGCCTCAGCCAGATAACTCCAGTTTTGTGCACTATGCTGACAGTGAAACAGCCCTGCATACACTTAAAACCAGTGATTTAGCATCAGCCACAAATACTCTGCTCTGCTAATGGGTTAAAGGTGTTTGCACCACAATCTTAAACATACAATGATGACTGTAGTTCAGCAGTGTTTGGTGCTTGGCCTCTATGGAAAAAGGGAAAGGGGGCTTTTGGAGCCCCTGTTTCTCTAATCTCCCCCCAAGTCTCTTACTTAAAAGGGGGATGTTTGTTGATGTTGGGAGCTTGAGTAAATAGCTGAAGGCGCTGTAACTCATGCAGCAATGTGATCTCACTTGGATGTCTGTCTGTCTCCTAGAAGGGACTATGTGAAATGCAGATTATGTTTACATGCCTCATGCCGCTCTGGTCAGTAGGGGGTAGACAGTCACAGAGGGGAGCAGTGCTTTCCCAAGCTAGGTCTGACCCCCTTTTAACTCCTCGCTGGGCTCCGTCGAGCCCTTTGGGCAGCTCAGTATGCTGCAGAGTCAGGCAAGCAAGGGGCTTATGTGCAGGCTTTGCCGCGGCAGATTTTAAATCCATCTGTGGGGAAAAGATAGGTCTGGTTTATCACCCCTCGTTTATAGTGCATATTCTGTTTGTAAATCCCACAAACTACATTTTCTCCTGTTACCGTCCCTCTTTTTTTCCCCTCTTTTGCCCACACAAATGCACACAAAACAGAAGAAAAAACAAAAGTGACTGCTACAGTGAGAATCAAATACAGCAGTCAACACTGGCACAGTCACAGCGGGCTATAAAATGCAGACCACAGTCAGTACACAAACAAAGGGGCCGCTCTTTACTCAGAGAGCAATGGCCACGGAGCAGCTGGAGGAAGATCACATGATATCAAAAACAGCAGACAATCATGCTGTTACATGTTACCACAAAATCCTATTCTGTTTGTCTCTCTGCCTCACACACTCACACATACAACGTATGATCAATTGCCCAACTGGAGGAGTGGGTGTAAACAGGCAGCAAATCACCCGTATAGGAAATATGGGAAATCTGTTGGGCTTTCTTTTCATGGAATGAAAGTGCCACAGGCTCAGCAGAATGGCTGTGGCTGTTCCCACTGTAATTACATGTGGTTTTCTATATTCTAAATATACTCTCCTATATAGTAACTATTGCCCTACTTCCTCTGCTGTTCTTACATCATTAAACTTCATTCTAGGATCAGTTTACAGGACAACTCAGGAGATAAATAATAGCTGTGCAGACAAAAGGAGCAATGGACCTCATGTTCTCATTCTGCACAAGCATACCATATAAAATTATAAAACATTGGTGTCTGCTACATCACTGTAAAACACTTCACTGTCCTCTCTCTGACCTGCAAATGCCCTTTTGTCTGCATTTCAGGCTTGCAAAGTCTGAGGTTGTAAAGTTTAAGGGACGTGAAGACAAAATGTCTCTCAATGACCTTAATATCGCAATGACTTTGTTCAAACATCAATTTTTATCTCCACAACTCAACAAATGTCTTATACTTTCAGTTGATGAAACTTTGCCTACTCTCACCCTGAAATATGCACACATCTGATGCAAGGAGAAAAACATGATGAATGCCATCCTATATTGGCTGGTGGATGAGGGGGTCACCTCAGGGAAAACAGAAAGCTTGAATGCAACCCGTATACTGAAACCATTCTCTGAATTAACTGTGTGGAAAAGCACCAGTGGGACCGAAGCAGGACTCAAAGTCTGGCTGGCAATCAAATTCTTAGCATGCCCAGAGACACAAGTGTACAGCAGACACACAATTAGAAGGGAAGAGGGTTTGGCAATGGTTCTGCACAGGTTTAAACACCAAGCCATTATGTATTCATGCCACATTTCCCTATAACGTGATTACATTATACTAGTCTGACTTCTGCTGGACAGTATTTGCCATTACAACCACATATCATTGAGTCTGTCACACACACATTCGGATAATAATTCCCTCTTTTGCTAATTAGTGAAATAAATGAGAGAAATATATTTATAATGACTGAAAAAAAAGTGGCAACAATCACACACATCTCTTGCCAAGTAGATTTTCATTTTTACAAAGTGCATCTATTCTACAGTGCAATAAAAACACTGAGCGTTACCAACTGTGCTCTGATAGCCTTTATTTAATCTATTTACAAAGAATACAAAACTCTCCTCCTTGAACTCCGATGAATGTTCTGTTCCCAGCACAAAGCACTTCAGTGTATAACATTTCATTGAAACAAAACACATACATCAGGCACGACAAGGCGGGCAGCTGCTGCTCCAAGTGATGCCCTGAAAAACTGAAACTATAAAACGTTGTGTTGATCATTTCATTTGTGGTGCAGTTTCGTCCAATTGGCGGCTTCTTTGCGTCCTTGCTTCAACCCCTGTAAAAAGAATATGATGTTAATAGAACTCCTGTTTTAAAAATCAAGGACTCCCACCTATTATAAAGCTGGAGGCATTCCATGAAAAAGGATCCTCTAGCTAAGAAGCATAACAGGAAAGACTGAGTAACTTTACCAAAAAGGCATCCAAATTAACATATACGCCCGCTGCTCCTCACAACATAATGCAAGAGACTGAACCTGTAAATAAAAGCTGTAAATCCCTTTTACAGCCCGTAATACATCAGTTAGCTCCTGTGTGCATACCAAGTAGTATCCCGTGTGATATCCGCTCATATACCAGGAGATGAGCACGCTGCCCAGAGCCTCGTCATCCACCATGTCGGGACTCATCGGTGGAGGTGGAGGGATCATCTAAGGTGGAGAGAGTGTGATCACAATACAGATGCTGCAGGTTGATGACATCTGCTGTCTATCAATAACTGACAGTGTTTTCTCATTTTACCAGATTTCTAGTGAGTGTGTGCTTTTTATATGTGGATTGCAAAATCTGTTGCTCAGATAAAACAGTATCTACTGTAGTTTTTGCATTTCTTGTTAATGTTGAAATATATTCCAACTCACTGGTGGGCCAAAAGGCATCATGGGAGGCCAGGATGGAGGTACAGGCCCGTGACCACCACCAGATCGTCTGCTTCCACCCTGGCAGAGGACATAAAGACACAGAAAGGGTTGAAAACAACACTGTGATGCCAGTTATACCAAACAGTAAGGCTTGATTTAATATATATTATTTTCAAAAACATGTCTTTCTTTCATTTTATGACTTTATAGAGAGTCACATCAATACAGAGGACAGACATATTAACATAAACACCAATAAAATTCATTGCAGTCCAATACAATCCCCAGCAATAAATTCCAGCTCTGAGAGGGTGCTGTTTATATTCCAGTTTTATTGTCAACACTGTAAACACTTCATTGTTTAAGTGTCATTTTACTATGACTGTTGCTGCAGCAAAGAGCTAAGCTTCGAACAGGTTTTATAAAGTCTTAATCGTCTTAAACTTGATTCTAACATTTTAAACTCAAGCAACAATATGTATTAAAACAGTCTATTACCAGTTCATTTTGTTTGCTGACTAATAAAGAAAGAAGACAAGAAATTTTTCTTATTACCGGTCTGAAAGCATGCATGGGAGGTGGGCCCGGAGGAAACCCAGGGAAGCCGGGACCCCACATAGGAGGAGGTTCTCTGTGAGCCTTGGACTTCTGGGGTTTACTGTGAGGTTGCTGTTTGTGTTGGTTTGGTGTAGTTGACCTGTCGCTCTCCTCTGTTGACGACTCTGCCTCCTTTACCACAATTACAGAGACAAATTACTAAAACCCTGATTCATCTTTTTTGTCATTGTTTTCATACCACAATTGAATTATATTTGAATTTGTTTTTTGAATAATAAAAAAGCAAAATCAGGTGAAAAATATTAACTTATATATGGCCAAATTAATCTACAATCCATAAAAGATGCAAGCGCTTTACTAATTACAACTTAATCCGTGAATTGATTACACTGTGAGACAGCAATTTTTTATGTTCATAGCACTCCAGGAGTTATTACTGGATAAAGATCAAGTACTGTAATTCAAATTTATCTCACGTTGCCTCAACTGACCCCTACTTCTTCTCTTAGTTATTACCTACTATTATATTCCGTCTATAGTGGTCAAATAAAAGCAAATAACATATAAAACATGACAGTATGTCAAAGGTAATAGGTAGGTAATAGGTAATATTTAGGTAATATTTCATACACATGCTGTTAATTTTGGTCATTTCTCATTTCTGGTGTGCATATTTGCAGAGTAAAGGACATAACCCTGTGTGAACTGTGTCAGGGGATGATGCTGCTTTTCTTCTTTGAGTAGAGGTTTTAGAAATATTACCTGGTTTGAGCTGACTCACTGCCAAGTGATTTTTTAAAATGAAAAATGACTAGCTTCTGTTCACAGTGAACAGCAGAGTGTACAGTCTGATCTACAAACTATGGTGCATGTGCGACAGGGGATTATTAGTGGGAAAATGTAAATGCCATCAAATTTTGCTGTTGGGAGACAATATTATATTTTTTGCATTTGCATGAGGGAATAATTCAAAAACACCACCAACAAATGTCAATAACCTGTTAAATGAACAGGTAAGAATATAGCAATGACTAACATCTAACAAAATACATGAAATATACTGCATTTTATAAACATGACAAAAAATGCTATGCACTGCTTTACCTTTGTATTTGTCTCCTCATCACCCTCGGAAATCTCTGAAAGCAAGTCTTCAAGGTTCTGCTCCTCCTCGTTGCCGTATCCCGTAAACACAACTACACAAGTGCCTCTCTTCTCATCTATGGACGAGATGGTGGCTGCATAGAGCTGGCCATCCTCTGACCAGTATGCACTGCACGAGTCCCCAACCTGCCACTGTGACACAACATAACAGAATGTAAACAATCTGGTTTGGTTATCTCCTGATTTGAAGTAAACCAAATCCAAAAAGGGTGCTCCAAACACAAATTTAGATCACTGACATGTGTTATGGAACACAGAAACTAAACTTGTGTGCATTAAAATGTTAAAACACCTATGATGTTGATTTCAATTCTATCATTGAGACCTCTACAAACTGCCAATAAAACTGCTGAACAATAAGCCTCCTTCCTGTATATTCATCTCCATTATTTAATTCCAGACTTGCCTCTTTATCCGGTGGTGCATTGGTTCGTTTCCTACTCTGGTTCTTTTTGTTGTTTTTGCGTTTCTTTCCTGGATGATTTTTCTCAGAGGATGCAGCTTGTGGCTCATCTTCACCCTTGAGGGCAGTCTGACACACAAAGCAAGAGACATGAGTGGCAAGAACAAAGAAACATTATTCATGCACATTTATCTCTGCAAAACAAATTTTGCATATATGATAATTGATGGGTTCCATGGTTGCATGCACATATGATGCCAAGCCTCCATTTTACCTTGAATGATGCAACTGCCTTGTCATAAGCTTTTATCAATGCTGTGTCATCCCATATATCCGAATCATCACTCTAAAATAGAGAACAACAGATTAAACATGGATCCCCTAAAGGTGACAGATTTTTAACAAGCATCTCCCATTACATGCGAAACAAGACAGATGAAGATTGTTGTTGATTTGACATTTTTAAAATCCTCCGGCGAATTTTTACAGTGTAGCTTATTTCTGGAGTTGACCTGAAACCAGAACTGTCATGTTAACCTCATTGTGGATGCCACAGTAGGTTTGTCATCTTGAGCAGCTAAAGCTACGCACGTTGTGTTTGTCCGACACACTGTATTACAATAAGGCAATATCTCGACAATTAAAAGCACGACAGGTGCCCTGTGGATTTCTACTTTCATTTCTGTGTTGCATTTGCTCTTTGTTTCGCAACTTAGCTGAATTTTGCACTGCCTTGTAGCTTAGCTTCCTAGCTTACCAACTCATACAAACATATAGCGGCCTATGAAGTGTGGCATGTGTTGTCATCTTGTGCTCACTGGTGCATTGTAACTAACCTGTCCAGTTCCGCGTGTAAACAACACGTCTTTGCATCCATTCGCCATGTGAAGATGTGTAGATTTCACTGCTCACTGCTACTTGCTAAACAACTAACGAGTAACGTGCGTCGGAAATGGTGACGTACTATAGTAACGTGACGTATATATATTGCGACGCAGCGGTTGGCTTGGCAACGGCAGTAGCGTTAGCTGGGTTAGCTTGCTGTAGTTGTCGACTTCTCAAAACGCGTCCTCCTAAACACAACACTGGTGTGTATTATTGTGGAAACTACTTTTATTTGCGTCTCTGAAGATGATTGACTCTCTAAGTTCTTTGGGTGCAAAAGTTGTCGTTGCTTCGTCCAGCGATGAGAATCACCCACCAGAAAACATCACTGATGGGTGAGTCCTAGCTTAGTTGTTGCTGAAATAACGCCAATAGCTTTGTCAACCTAAAGTTTCCATGTGAAAGTTAATGCCAGATGTACGCTGTATTTTGTGCTGCAGTGTAGCGTTAACACCTGATGTTTGTCCCTTTCACCCAGTCACACTAACACGTTTTGGATGTCCACCGGGATGTTTCCTCAAGAGTTCATCATCCGCTTTGCTGATCCCACGAACATTTCTGCTGTGACAGTGGACAGCTATAATGGTATGGATGCTAGGGTAGTATTATACACCATAGTGTAGTGGTCGTTGATGAGGTGGGTTTACTACTAGGTAGGTGGGCAGGTTCCTAAGGAGGAATTGGGTGTACTCTCTCATACAGTATATTCCAATGGCTTTTTGACTGATAGGTGAATATACTGAAAACAGCCAGCCAAAAACTGCTTTGACGATCCTCATGGCATACTGTAAACACGGGTTATTTTCCTCTATAAACAAACTAATAAAAGCTTGTACATATACCCACTCATTTCGATAATACTAAAACTGTATAAAGATATAAAATCTGTTATTGTCAATAGTTATTGTATGTGCTGATACTAGGTTTGACAATCACCAGAGGCCCAACAATCACATTTCAATATGACTGCGATTTAAATGTGTTGCAATATATGGTGAGTATTGTGATAATATATTGGGATTTATTACCTGTTTTTATCTGCAAATTATGTCCCCAAAGGAAGAAACTTTGTTGACATTTGTTTTATCTGAAGTTTTCAGTCTTTTCATTTCACTTCTATCATTTTTTATTGCAATAAATTGTATCTAGTGGACTGAAAAAGCAATTGATTTTATTATTCTAGTAGGCTATCAAAAGTTGAATTTGTTATTGTAATGTTGATAATTTACATCTTAAAAAATCGATACGTGGCATCTGTGTATCTGCCAGATACTGCCACGCAAAAATATCGCAATACTATGCTTCATTGATTTTTTCCCCCACCCCTAGCTATACTTAAGTCACCATACAATATTACATTATTAACAGCTGGATTATTTAAGTATGGACACTCCCGCAGGTATTTGACCTACAGTACATGACAATGTCCGTTTTTCCCCATAAATTAACAGGACAGAAGCTAAACACAATATAATAAATGAACACATACAGTCTAACACATCCTAAAACTGAAGGGCATATACATGTATGATCAGCTGTCAACTCACCACCATTTTACTCTGTATGATCTTTTGCTAAGATTAACTTAAGACAAAGTACTCTGTGACTTTTTAAGTCCCCTTTTTTTTTTTTTTTTTTTTAAAAAATCAGTAGTGTTTGTAATCACAAGTAAAGGGGTCTATGTTTTATATTATGACCAGGTGAGAAACACAGAATTTATTTTGCCTATTCCTCAAACTCTTTGATCACATATGTTAATTAAATTGCATATTGATATGGAAGATATTGGACTGATTGTATGGTTGCTGTAAGGAGGAAAAACCTTATTGAAATAGATGTACATTAAAAGAAGACACCACAAGAGTCTTGTTAGCCATGCTACCAGCACATTTAGGCTGTTGTTTGAGCCAAAAGCTGATGTCAGCATGCTAACAAGCTCATAATGACAATGCGATCATGCTGCAGGTATGATGTTTATACTGTAATATGTTCATCTTACTTTAGCATGTTGAGCAGCAATCACACAAAGTACAATTGAGGCTGATGGGAACGTCATTAGATTTGCAGGTATTTGCTCTTAAACCACAGCATTGGACAAATTGGAATTTTGACCTGATGGTGGCACTAGATAGAAACCGGATTACCCAAGTGATTACAGATCACCCTGAAGGGATCTTGGTTGTGCGTAGCAAATGTCATGGCAATCTATTCAACAAATGTTGAGACATTTTTATTCAAAATCACAAATGTCAACCTCATGGCAGTGCTAGAAAAAAAGTAAGACAGGTGTGACCCAAGTCGTTAGGATACATCATTGGTGAGCCATGTATGTCTATAGAACATTTTTTTGCAATCCTTCCAACAGTTGTTGAGATATTTGAGTCTGTACTTAAGTGGTGGACCATCCATTGAGCCATGCTGGTAGCGTAGCATAAAGTGTAATTTACACATGCAATTTAACCACATTTTACCACATTTAACATGCTCATTGCCAAAATAAATTGCTCCAAGGCATTAGTGACAGACCAAAATGTTCACAGTTTTTCTAGCAGCACAAGATTATATATTATCTGCAAAGAAAATGTACTTAGTTTGTGGTTCCTTTAAACATTTTAATAGATATCTGGTTGTGTTTTCTGTCTTTTGCAGTCAGGCATCTAAAGATAGAGAAAAACACCTCAGAAAATGCTTCTCAGTTTGAGTCTGTCACAGAGAAAGGTAAGAGAAACATCCATCTATGGTATCTGTTTGCACATTTGGTTTAAATGCCGAAGAATCAAAAATTGCGATTAACAAGCTGATTGTCTTGTAGAATTTGAACATACAGAGGGATGTCTTCAGTCAAATGCAATTTCGGTGAGTTGAAATTAAAATATTATTAAGTAAAACATATGAATGCGTATAATTAACAAGTAAAACAACTACTTGTCTTTATCTTTTTATATCTTTCAGCTAAATGGAGGCAGTGCAACTCACCTTCGTTTTATCATCACCTCAGGATATGATCACTTTGTCTCTGTGCACAGAGTTAGTGTACAAAATTGACACACTCGATTGTTGTGAATAAAAGCCTTGTGATGTATTTTTTGTATATATGTTTATGACATTATTTGACCATTGTAAAAATAACTAGATCTCATTATAGGCTCCGTCTGTTTTTAAACACACACAGACACTGACATCTTGTCCCTGGTGGCAGACAGCTTTAACAGTAACTGGGAATCTGATAAGCATATTCCATGAATATGTGAGGAACATTGATTTGGAAAATCAATGAATGCATGTCTAACATTTATTTAATCACCTTAATCAGTGAAGTTGTATTTGCAGACAAAGCATACAATGGCAAGCTGAAGTGCATTTTAAAATCTGGCCTCCAATTCCGAAATAAAGCTTAAACCCATTCTCTATGTGTGTGCTTATTTAATGTTATGGATTCACACATGGGCCTTTTTATCCCGCATTCAACTGCTCCTTGCTAATTTCACAAGCTGATAGCTGGCAAAGCTTTAGAATAAACGAGTTGGATTGTGATGAATGGTAGAAATACTTACAAAGGAAGTTTCTCTCTGTGTGAGAGATAGAGTTAATTAACTAATTTTAAGCAGTGGGGGCTTAAATTGGCATCCTGACAGCCTCCCCATGAGCAGAATTTGACATCCCCATAGAAATGGGGAACCATGGGCAATGCAGCTGGGGGGAAGGGGAACCAGATGGTTTCCCAGCCAACCAGCGAGTCTCCAAAGACTGCGGGCCTATTCACACAAAAGTACTCAAGCCACCTCCTGCACTTATATCCTCCACATACACACACCCTCACACAAACACTGACTCCTATCTACCTCCATTGCCATTTCAACTTGTCGGTAGCAGAGGGTTCAGCAGTGTGCGAGGACCCTTTGGGACTCCCTCCCCAATTACTTTGCTGACTGCAGAGGAGCTTGGGGATTTGCTGAGGCTGTGTTTGCTGTAGCCTGGTCTGCATGCAGTGCTCCGAATAAACCAATAAAAATATGAAATACATGCCTGAATAACTAGCCCCCTGATATTTTAGAGCAACTAATTGCTTAGGGGTATGGCTGGGATATAGCACATTTGAGTATGAGTGTGTAATGAGTAATGAGGGCAAGGTAGAAACTGATACAGTGCTATTGACTCATCTATTATTTACTGCTATGGAATATTTATTATAATGTTAGAGGTGAGGGTCGGCCATCAAATGAAGTGCAAGCTCCCATTTCATAGGAGTACAATTATATATTTTTTCCGCACTAGTTCAGATTGTGAATTTATTACATTGGTTTGCTGTGAATACGTAAGCAGTGATGCCTTTTTTGTATTTTGAACAGGTTTGCAAATCTGCCTCCCCATTACTAATGAATTCGGGCTCTTTTGTGCTTGACTGTCAGCCGATCAGGAGAATCACAGCAGGATATGAGTGCATTATTATCATGTCACTGCAGGCCAGGGCTAAATTATCACCCAGTGTCTTCTGACGGCTGCCTAACTGCTGTCCAATCGCACTGAGACATCTGCTCGACCAGAACTCTGTATGTTCAGCTGAGTCCTTACAAAGAGATGTATATCACAACCTTCCCCAAAAACCTCTCTGCCACTGCACGCCCTAATTGAAAATGGTAGATTTTATCAAAAAGATAAATACTGAAAGCCAGAATGTAATACTTACAACTGCCGTAATGTGCCATTGAAATCCTACTTCAAACTATTCTGCTGGTAAAGCCCATTAGAAATGGTTGCATACTTTTTTACATAAAAGGGAACATTGCCGCAAGGATTTTTATGTTTGTGGTGTACAATCACCTAAATAGGTGATGTCTTATATGAATATTTCGAGTAAGAAATCCCTTCATCCAGTCAGCTCTGTTGTTTTCTTTCATGTCAAACCAGCGACTTTGAATTTCTTGTTATCTCTTCTGTGTGGTCCTCCTTTCATGTCAGTGACAGAACCACGCGCACTGACAATGGGCCTTAATTTGATTTCAGTTTTGATTTGGTCCAATCAGTTTAGTAATGACAGAAGATGAGCTGGAAAGAGCTGCTGTGTGAGGAAGGAAACACTATAAAGGCCGAAATTAGATGATTAGGCGGGAGAGGAAAACAATCTTCTCATTATTTAAGTCCAAGAGGAATGGAGAATGATAATGAGGGATTGACAAAGAGCGCAGTTGAAGACAGCTTTGAATATATATCAACGGCATTCATATTTATTTATAAATCCAGCATTTGCTTGTGAAGTTGTGCATTAAATAGTAATGAGTAGTTTGACAAGCTTTTTTTTTCAAAGTCTAATACCTCTGTGCATTTATAGTTGCAGTTTTATCCATTGCAGTATGGTTTACGCATAGGAGTAGATTTCATGGTGGACGCAGGGGACACATACCCCTCAGTATTTAGAGCACGTGCATTTGTCCCCCCCAATAAAAACTTTCAAGTAGCAGAGGACTTTAGTTTTGACAAAAGTAAAGACATTTATACCATAAACTGATGCAAAAATTGCAGAAATGTGTGCATAAACATGAATGCAGAAAATTAAGTGTTTGACTTAAAATTTTCTGGCAGACATTTCATATGTGTCCCCCAAATGTTGAAACGAAACCTACATCCGTGGGTGTTCTTAATCAAAAGTATTCACCCATGCACCTTTCAAGTACCAGGGTGTGTACAGGTCCTCAAAAAGTCTTAAAATATCTTAAATTAAGTTTTCTTAAAAGTCTTAAATCGTCTTATCATCTCAAATAAGCTGGTATTAATAGGTCTTAAAATGTCTTAAATTTACTTGGTTATATCTTTAGACACCCTGAGAACATTAAAGGACACATTTAGTAATCATTAAAAGCAAACATTATACAGATTGTTCCAATAATATGTTTGTTGAACACAGATGAATCCACTCTCCGTCTTCTGGCAAAAAGAGCCCCAGCAAGCAAATGTATTTGCTGAGGGAGAGGTAAAATGCACTTTTTTCTTTCTTCTGTTTTTTTTTTTTAGATGAACAGGTTTTCAGAATACAGCAAAGCAAATTAGCAAAGGTGTTCGAACAAGCGCTGATGCACAAATGACAAACATTTGCTGCTTTTTAAATTACCCTTGTTTGCACCTTGACTTGTTTGTTGTCGCTGATTTCCAATTCAATTCCAGCATACTGTCTGTTTCACTGAGGCTTTTTTTGCCCAAGGTGTACAAGAGATTGATTCTGTACATTGAATTACATTGAAAGTTTCACCAGTGCCATATAGCTGCACTATCAACCGTCCTTTTGCTGCTTCCCTATCTGACCACTTCTCTGTGCTAAGGACCAGACTAAGGGCTGTGAAACACTTATCAGACTTTTGAGTTTGAGTGCCACTGGTTACAGCTCCTCACCTTAGTTCCACTTAGTCTGTCTGCCTCCAAATCTCTCCTGACCTGCTGTGGTAATGTAATGTAATGGTGGGTAGCTGAGCAATCTCAAGCAGCAGCCTCATTACAGAGATTGCCACACATTCTTGACCAGTGCAGTGTGCATCTATTTCTGCCTGATAGTCTATGTGAGCCCCTGAGTATCGAGTGGGTGTAGTAGTTAAACTTTTTGCTTCACAAACTACTTTGCCCTTGTGGGAAGTGGAATAGGGGCTGCTGCTAGGAAGGATTGTTTGTCTCCAAGTGGAACGGTGCCAACGAACTCTCACGAAGTTAAATGAACAATGTAGGGAGAGAGATAGACATTACCAGGAGATCACCCTTTTTTCCCTTTGTTGTTCTGTAAAAATATTTGCTTTTATTGCATTCTGTTCAGCCCCGTTTAATCTCCCTCTCACTCTCTAAACACACACAGAGCACAAAGTGAATCCCAAAATTAGCATTTGCCCTTGGTATCTGTCAGAGGTGCTCTCTAGTATATACTGTATTTGTGCATTTCTGTATCAGGATTCAGGCATTAGGTTGGCTTTAGGAGGTTTCATGCATACGCAGACAATGCAGTGACACATCAACTCATCAAAGTGTTCATAGGCTTGCTCAAGTTTGTAGATGGAGCCTTGGACAATTAAATTAGATAACTGGTTTACAAACGTAAGAAGTCATCAAAACAGTCAGTCTGAACTAAAATAAACTAGATTTATAAATCAATTATTTATCTGTTCAGTGAGTTATTGAATTATTGAGTTATTAAAAGCTGACAAGTTGATCGTATTTAAAAATCTAGGAAACTGATTACCTTGAGGCAAGTAAACAAAACTATTAGTCCTTAGTTTTATTTACCTTGTAATACTTTTGATACTTACAAAGGAAAAAATAACTTAAGACTAAGAGTTATATTTACTTTAACTCTTTACTTAAACCCTTTTCAAACCATTTGGCTAGATTGTTTTTTTGGGTAAGATAAACTTGTCAGATTTTACAGTGAATGAAACCTGGAGTGACACATGCAGTGACACTTGCAAGATGATTTACTGATTCACTGAAATGTTGTCAGAAACAGAAAGTTTGAGTTTGACTAGATCCAGAAAATGACAAGAAACATACAGATGTATTAGCTTAATATATTAACTTAAGTATTGTGCATAAAAAATATATCTGAATTGAATTTTCTTCAGGGTAATAGTGCAATGTCATTGTACATCCACGTAACGTGATTGTTTTTGCTTCTGACAGGCTCCAAATGTTATTACAAATGTCTGACAAAGAAATAATCATTTTTCTTTACCTTTCCCTTGATCCAGTCTGTTTGTTATTGAGTGTAAAAGAGAAGTCTCTTTCTGAAGTCTTACATGTTGGGTTGTTACAGGAAGACCATAACAACAATCCGGAACAAGCAAAAGGGAAAGAAAAACATTTTAGTTTTTCATCTGACACTTATAATAACAATCTGAGCCTGTCAGTGGCAAAAAGCACTTTGAGTAGACACACATTCCTGGTACACTATTGCCCCAAAGATTACACCGCAGTGTGTTTCAGGGCTGCCACAGTCTTCCTTCATGGTGGACCAATTTCCAAAAGTATTGTTCCTATCAAACACAAAAACATGAGAAAATAGGGCTCATGTTGTAAAATACAGAAGTTCCCCTTTAAGGATGAAAATGCATGACAGCTTCAAATGGTTTTAACATGTATTTTGAAGTGCAAAACACTTTTTACAGTGGTGTGGATATAATAAATATTTACATCGTAAGACCTGTGTATTGTTTTAAATGACTCATCAAATGGTTACAAACCGTTTTCCATGCACAAACCCTCTATGAGTGAAGAGTGCAGGAGCATACAGTAACGTGGATACGCAAGGCAAAGTCTAATAAGGTTCAGGAACCCAGACTCACAACAGATGATACATCACTGTCAGTTGCCATGCTGGAAGGGACAGATGTTAAGCCACTATCATGCTTATCATGTGTTACCATCAGACATTAATCATGAAATAGATAAATCAGCTGTCAACCAACAAGTAATAAATGGCGTTTAAACTACAATATTGTGCACAAGTTGAACTATGAGTGGTCCTGTTAGACAGCATGGTAAAAAATGAAATAAAATAATAATAATAATAAAATAAAATTCTCATTTGAGCATTAAATAACTTAGCATTTAGTTTTAAACAAGTACTAACAGTGTCATCACAAAAAGCCTTTTTTAATGTTATATTTTTTGTGTGACTAAGATATCCTAGATTGCTCTATTAAATAACCCTTGTAAAACACTGCTCTCCAGCTGTTATAGTATCATAAATATCTGTGGTGAAAAAATAGTCAAGTGCCGAGTTCACTTTTGCTGAACGTGTGTGAGTGCTCCCATCAAATCTCTGTGGCAATAATGTCATCATATGTTTGTAACCCTGAGGTGTATGTGATGTCCATGCCAAGCTCTGTCCGGCTCTCCAGTTCAGCGGTCAGCTCCTTTAGGATCCTCTCCAGGTCCTGGTTCTTCTTGTGCACCTGCATGTAATTGATCTGGAGCTGCTTCTGGTACCTGATGACCCTGTCTTTCTCCTTGTTCCATGTTTGCCTCTCTTGCTCAAAGCTGTTAGTCAGCCTCTCCTGTGCCTCCTTCTCCTCCCCGAGCTGCCGCTTCAGTCTATCCACTTCTCTCTGGAGTGATTCTGTGGTGATGTGTCCACTGTTCTCCTCCGCCTGGCCCTGGGCGAGGGAGTCTGAGCCTTGGATTAGCCTTCCCAAGGCCTCAGTCTGGGCATGGGCCTCAAGTTGCAAACTGTGCTGCAGCCTCCGCTCTTTGGCCATAGCCAGATCCTGTTTCATTCCCTGAATGTCTGTCTCCAGTTTGCCCACCTTCTCTCTCAGCAAATCAGCCTCATTCTTCTTGCGCTGGAGTTCATTTTGGCAAACCTGCATTGAAAATGGAAAATATGCAGACAAAGGCAGCAATTAAGAGGAATGTTTTGACTGATATTACAGGTGCAATCATATGAAGTGTCACATAAGCTCACTTATTAAGACTGTGATTATATAAGTCTGCTAAAACACGGACAGTGAAAACAGTCTGAAGGTCACAGTTGAGTGTAGCACATAATAGCAGGTATCCTTCCTAACTCAAAGTGCTTTCATTTAATAAGCAATGTGTGGGCATTTTATTCACACGTCCGTATTGCAGTGGTGGAATGAATTGCCATTGAATCATGAACAGTCTAACCTCAACCTCTATGGTGCGGGAGTGAAGTTTGTCCTTGTGGTCTTTATTCTGTCTCTCGAGCATCTCCATCTTTGCTGTGTTCTCCTTCAGTGACGTCCTGAGGCTGACTATCTCGTTCAGCTTGTGGCTGACGTCTGCCTGGCAGTCTCTCAGTTGCTGCTTCAACAGTGAGATCTCCCCTGTCTTTTGGCACACCTACATTTCAAAAGATACAATTATGAAGATGAGCCAGTAAGAGTAATAACTTGTGTGATATGTACCTTGCACTGGAAGTTAAAGGAAAAATCAACCGGTGGGATACCTTAATACTGTTAATAATGTTCAAGTCTGGCATCTCGTAATCCAAATCATCAGATGATTTATTTTAATTTTATCCATAAAACTTATCTACCTCCCCAAAAACGTTACAAAATGAAACTAACGATTTCGCCAAATTGCTTATTATGCTCTCTAAATATATCAGGTTCTTTTTTGCACATGATGTGGGAGTGTCCTCCAGTTAAATATTTCTGGGAACAGATTGCTAAGTACCTCTCCAAAGTATTACAAACCAATTTTCCTTGTTGCCCAAAACTGATGCTCCTTAATGATGATGATGTTTTAAGTTTAAATGTAGTCCAAAGACATTTCTGGCTGGTAGGAAGCACAGCTGCAAAAAAATGTTAGCACTTAGATGGCAGCCTCCTCATTCCCTTTCTTTTAATCAGTGGAAACAGTCAGTTGTAGACATTGTATCAATGGAACGCTCTACGGCAAGATTTAATGGTGCCAAATATCAGACAATAGAGAATTGGAATCACATATTAGACCTAGTGAGGAGCTCTATTTCATAAAGTTAGTTTACTTATCTTATAGATAAGATGCCTTTTGATTTATTTTTAGTTATTTATTTATATTTTATTTTTTTATTTTATTATGTGTATGTGTATATATGTATGTATGTATGTGTATGTATATATGCGTATATGTGTGTATGTATGTATATATATATGTATATATGTGTATATATATGTATGTGTATATGTGTGTATGTATGTGTGAGTGTATGTATGTATATATAATTTCTGTTCTTATGGTGGTTGGCGGGATCTGGGGGGGAAGATAGGAAGGGTTGAGGGGTTGAGGAGGTGGGGATCTGTGTGTGTATGTATGTATGTATGTATGTGCGCATCTGTGTATCTCTATATCTGTGTACCTATGTGCACATGTGTAGGTATGCGCATATGTGTAGATGCGTGCATGTTTGTATTTATGTGTATGTGTACATTGTATGTATAATTCAGCATTGATGGGTTTGATATTTTTCTGCATCATGCTTGACAGAATCGAACTTCTGACAGAACTGTAGCGCAGACTTTCTTTTCAGTCTCCTTTGGCTCTTGAACTTCTTCGTATTTCCTGTTGGTTTCTTTTTCATTTTCTATGAGAGCCAATGCTATATGTAACTTTTTGTGCACATAACCCCCCCTTATTACGCTATTGTTGTATAAAAATAAAAGAAAAATTTGATCTCAAAAATAATATTCAAGACTTCATGTACATTTGTACAGTTATGGATTTTATGCATTTCCCATTATGACAGCAACAACGTGTTTAATTTGTTTATATGCACAGTGTCATAAAAGTCTGCTGAGTAATTGTAATGCACATTAAATATAATTAAATTGTGTTCCTTTATTAAATAGCATGTGGCAGTATTTTGCATGGGGAACACATTTTCACCTCCTGCCAAAAGTAAGCTGAAGATTTAAATGACTGCAACATTTTAGCTGAGCAGTGCAAACGGCTAACACAAAATTGACGTGTTATCATCGTATACATAGTTGTTGGAAAAAGTGTTAGCAAACAATTGGCCAAACCGTCTAGTTACAACTTCTGGTTGCATCACATGACGCCATTGAGCCCAAAAAGACTTTTTCCCATAGACTACCATTGTGAAAGAGATGTCTGTAAATAAGCGGAAATTTCCCAGTACTGTATGTTCACTGAAATAACCTTTATTTAACCTTTACTTATGTCCTAAAAGTTATAAATTCACTAAAAGCTGAATCCAGAGTTATTTACCCTCTGTCACTCATGTGAGCGAGCTCAAGGCCGAGCTGTCAAGAGGCAAGGTTAAAGGAAATGCTAGTGTGCTTTCTGTATGGGCCCACAGATGCGGAAGATCCAGTTAGTTTTATATGCGGAAGTCAAACTTTTTTTGGCTTCATTCACCAGTGAGCAACTTTCACAGGTATTAATAGGGTCCTTTAAGGTGGTATTCAGTTCTCCTCATACATCCATGATTTACTTTTAGCAGACACAGAGCAACGCATTTATTTGAAATCATATTCCTGGCCATGAGGCAAATGTAACAGCCAAAATACGTGGGAGACACATGTGACACACCTGCTGCAGCATACCCACAGCAGTGTGTCTGTTATGATCAACTGTAGCTGTAGCACTTCTCTATTTTTACGAGGCTGGTCTATTTTGTCTCTGTGCACAGCTCTGCGGCCCTCCAACAGGTGAGAACTACAGAGAACTGTGTATAGAACAAGAACAATCTGTCAAAAATGCTTAAAATAATTACCTCATTATACTAGAGGTAATGCGAAGCAGCAGAGCAACCTTGTGTGTTTTTACATTTCACATTAATAAAGCCTATGCTTACAAACCCTGTATAAACAACTGCTCTATCACTTGGCAAGAAGTGAAGTTGGCAGCAACTGGAGTCTGTGTAGCAGGTAAAAAAAACACTCTCCACTTATGTGAGGCGTTTGCTCCATGTCCAATGTGTTTAGGTCACAAAGGTTCCCTTTTATCTCTGTTTTGTTCTCCACCAAATCCTGCGGGAAATGTCTGTCTCTTTATCTGCTACAGGTCCACTATGTTCTCCAGCTAGTCACTACCTTTGTTTGTCTGCCCACTGGTGTTTGGCAAGGAGCGTACAGTTGGTTTATCAGGGCTTGTTTGCTGACAACTGCTGGAAACAGGTCAGGTAAGAGTAATAAAACTGAATCGAAAGAGTACCGTTGCAGGCCATAAAGATCAAAACAATGAGTTGAAAGATGCTAAAAAAGCTCCCTTGAGTTAAGAAGAGCGGCAGAGTTGGTAAAAGTTCTCTGTGGGCTTATCACTTTGAGTTGTCCCTTTCACATTAAACGTAACAAAAGTAGGTTAACAAAAAAGTAAAAAAGCTCCTGATGCTAAATGCAACATTGTGAACTACAGAGGGAAATTTAAATGGAAAAGTTGACATCTCTGACTCTTTCACAGTGGATGTCTTATTAAACAGAATGCATAATGGCAGCTTTAGTGATAGAGGAACATTATGTTCCCACATCTCAGCAGCAGCCATCAAGGTCATACCACATTGCACTGTATGCTACAAGGTTTCAAACCCAACTAATATCACACATATGACTCATGACTCACCTCCCATTGAGTTTCCTCAAGTGTCGGAGCGAGTTGTGAACTCTCTGTCGCGTAAGACCGCAGCCTGAGCTCAACAAGATCCTTTTCTCGGGTAAGGTTTGAGACATCGTCCTGAAGCCTCTCCTTCTCTGCCTGTACAAGAGTTTATTTCTCATTTCAATCATTTAGGCACAGTGTGTTATTTCTTGGCTTCTGTGAATGCTTCCTATCTTAAATGCAATGAAGGTAAAATTTTGTCTCTTAAAGGAATACTTCACCTCCCAAATGACTATTATATAGGTTATATAGTTATATAGGTATATGAATTACTTACCCTCTGTTACACTGAATTTGTAAAGAAATATGTGTTTGTCTTGCATGCCTCCATGTGAACAAAGAATGCAAAAATTGATAAAATTGTTAATGAATTGAAGTCATAGGATCCATGTTAAACAACAGCAAAACTACATCAAATTATCTGTTTTTAAACTCTCACACAACTCGTACAGTCTAATCCTGATCTCATTTATTGAATCATATGCTCAGTACTCCCCAAACTGACAGCCCTCTGCAATGGAGAACTAAACTAAAAGTGAAATTTAATTACACAGGAGCTGCTGGTGAATTGAAACTAACCCTTTAAAACACCAAAGTCACACAATAACACATACAATCAACTGATCAAGTCAATAACCAGCAGCTCCCGTGTTCAGCGAGGTAAAATTACTGTTTTTGTCAATGGAGTCTAGCTTTAAAGAGAGTGTAGGTAATTTTCACTTTAAGTTTAGTTGCCCATTATAAGGGCTGTCAGTCTGGGGAACATGGTCTCACTCTAATGTTGTCAAAATATAATGCTTGGGCAGTGACTTGCGGCATCAGAAACCATTGAAAAAAAGGTATCTTTTGACGTCGGCATGATACGTGGCCGATTGCCGTTATAGATTTAAGATGGGGAAACGCGGCAGGACAAGGGCGAAAGTTAAGGCGGCGAAAGTCCGAGTGGGGCAGGTGGATGGTTCCAACAAACACCAACCTATACCCAAGAGAGCGGTGTTTGCGTCCCATAAGATTCTACAGCCAAACCCTGTTCTTTTGCTGCCTAAACCTAACCACTTCCATTTGTTGCCTAAACCCAACCATGTAGCCTGTGTTTGTTGTTGATGGAAAAAAATGTCAATTCGCAGTGTTGTACCGACATAGTGCGTTTCTTTTGAAAGAGACTCCTAAACGTTAAATTTCCTGTGAAAAGTTCATGACTAGACATCAATATGAGATGAGGTCGGAGTGAGAATGTGTTGGGATCATGCTTCACGAGAGAGTTTGTTAACGGATGTGTAGATAGATAGATAGAGTTTTGCTTTTGTCAAACGCAGACCCCTTCTACTTGAGTTAATCAAAAATGGTCTCTGTTTTTGGACTCTATTTACTGTGGAGGCATGCGAGAAAAACAGTTTTTCTCATGAATTCAACATAACACAGGATCAGTTACTGATATACAAATGTTAATTTAGTGGGTAAAGTGTACCTTTAAGTCATTAGAAAGGGTGAAGTGTCAGTGGGATGAAGATGAACTAGAAATGCAGGGAATTGGAAAAAAAAGAGGAGGATGGCTGACCTGGAGCTGGCTGACCTGCAGTTGGAGTGCTTGTTGGGTTTTTACAGCCATTTGGGACACTTGCCGTAGCTTTGTGGAACATCGCTGCTTCAGCCCCTCCATCTCATCAGCACAGTACCTTTGTCTTTCCTCAAACAGCCGGCAGGTGTCTGCTTCCTTGTCTTCAAAACTCACCTGTTGTAAGGTAAAAGACATCTTAGTAAAAGAATTATCACTCTTACAGTCTAACTACTGATCTTGATTAAGAGCATGTACTGTTTTTTTGCGTAGCCTGACAGCTTGGTACCTGTAGCTCCTGCAGTTCAGTCTCTCTCTCCATCAGCCTTTGTTCCAAACGTTCAATCAGTGACTCATCTGTAGTAATGGGGGACCGAATCCCACCTGCAGTTTCAGAGAGAGCGCTTGGCTCATCTGCAGAAAGTGGGGAGCCAGCATCCCCATTAGCCTTTGATGCCAACCCTTCGCTGTTTAAACCAGCCCTGTAGCTACAGTCAAGGTTAGTGCTATTCCCATTGACCCATGGAGGGAAATTGGGTTGCACTCCCTTGCTGAGGCTGTTTGCGGGAGCTGAGGTGCCATCACTGTGACTGACAGGGCCTGTGGAAGCACTTAGGCTGCCGCTGGTGCTGTGGGTGGGCAGGCTAGACATAGAGTTGCGTCCAGAGTCAGAGAGAGTTCCTGAAAGGAAAAGAGACAACATTTTATTCAAGCGGAGTTTGTCATTCAACCTGAATAATATTATTCTAAGGCAATACTTTATTGATATAGCATAAAAATAGACCTGAGAAGGTGTCTTGCTTGTGTCTAATGTCTGGACTCCTTGCTTTCTCCGGAGGACAAAGAATGTGGTCCAGGCTGTTGTGGCCTGTGTCTGAGGAGGATGTACTCCTGGGAATCACAGGCTTGAAGGCAGTAGAACGGACCAATGACTTCTCAGCAGAGGTCTAGAAGAGTGAAATGACACACAGTCAGGGGTGCTCTTTGCAATTTTTGTTTTTATATTCAGTGGCTTTTCTTAGCTGTTATGGAGAATACAAAGAGCCGAGGATGGGTCACATTCTAAAACTTGAAAACTCATAATGACTGGCTTTCACAGAGATAAATATTGTCACGTGCTCGAAGTCTGTAAAAATGAAAGGGATAGTTTTTTTTCCCAATCATGTCTTTTCATATTAGAAACACAACCACTGAAGCGTGCAGAATTGCTTCACTACAAGCTAGCAGTATTAAACGCCACACAGCAGTGGTTGCAAGTAAAATTCACCAGACTGTCATAAAAGAGAAAACTCATTTCAAAGATGAACTTATACTCCACATGCCCCATCTGTGCTGTCCAAGAACGTCACAAGTAGTACCATACCTCCCCTCCTTTCTGTCCTCATCTCCTCCCCTCTGCATCCCACATCTCTCCCCTATGTGCTGTCTGAGCAGAGATGAATAGCCCTTCTCTGTGATATTAATAATATGAGCTACTGCTGAAGTGTAAGAGGTAAAGCTTGTGAGCTCAGCATTCCTTCACACTGACTTCATGACTTGGGTGCCTTTCCTCATTTTTTTCTCTCTCTCTCTATCCCTCAAACTCTCTTTGGCCCTCGACCTCTCTCTGCTGTCTCTCTTATTCTCTGCTCTGCTTATTTTAAAGCGGCTTCCTATTCCTCTCCTTTCTCCTCCTCTTGCCCCAGAGGAATAAAGACCTATTGAAAGAGACTCCGTTTGCCTATGTATTCTTGTCACAGAATTGACTTCACTGAGAGGATCAAGGCAGTCTTAGGTCATTAATCTGGGTAGGGGGTGATTAATACGCTAGGAAGGTTCAACACAGGTTATGAGGAATGGCTGCTACCAATTACACTACCTGCTGTGCATGTTTTATTCTTAACTTCACTGTGGAATTTTCAAAGTCTGTTGCAGTTATGCAGTATGACTTCTTAATGGTTGTACGAATAACCATAGCAACGGTTACGGTCAAGACAAGCAATATTTGATGAGGCTACAAAAAAATGGGTACAAACTAAGAATCTCAGTGAATGAGGGGACATGTGCACAGACCCTGCCTGGCTGTTTCCCCCCGTTTCCTGTCTTTATGCTAAGTTATGCTCACCATCTGCTGGCTCCAGTGTAGGGTTGGGCAAAATATCAATATCATATCAAGCAGCAACAACAACAACTTGGAAGAGCTTAAACCTGCAGTTCCTTGAATAGCCACTTGAGGCTGGCTCCAAAAGCGAGTCAATCCCCATATACACCCATGCTAAAATGCCCAACTTTACAGCAGAAATAAACATGTTTAGAGTCAGATAGAAAAACGGTTTTGGTCTCTGTAGCTAATTTCAACATTCATGACAACTGTATGGGGGGTGAATTTTTATATCACTCGCCCATTTAAATTCTATGAAGGCTTAAAGTTATACATTACACACAAAGGGGTATGGCCGAGGACAAGTTGCTACCATGGCAACAACGTTGGTTCGGTGATGTAATAATGATGTAACCCCAGATTCACAGAGTGTAGGCGTACCTGTTGCTATTTCAGTGTGTTTTCAGGTCATAAAAGTTAATAAAAGTTGTTTAATAGTTTTGGTCACCAGGATTTGGTTGTAGGCAGCTTAAAGACCCTCTATGGTGTCTGATATTCAGTTTCTCTGGTAAGTAGGGCCTACACTTTGTTTTATTGGTTTCGATCCTGTTTTTCGCTGGTGTAAATAAGCATTAGCATTCATTTAATTACAGTTAACCATAGCTGTAAATGCACTGTGCTAATCAAGCTAGCAGCTAGCACAAGGACTATCTCTTGTCTAAATATGGTTACTTCTGGCTCCAAAAATCCAAGATGGCAGTGACCAAAATGCCAAACTAGGGCTTCAAACTGATAATCCACAACCCAATAGCTGAAGTCATGATTGCGATATCCATTATTCTATACAGTCTATGTATTATATTGATATTAGGATATGAGATGAGAAATCGTCTTAGATTTTGGATATGGTAATGTCATAGGTGTTGTCTTTTCCTGGTTTTAAAGGCTGTGTTACATTTAAGTGATGTCATTTTCTGAGCTTACCAGACCATTCTAGCTGTTCTATTACTTGCTTTTACCCACTTAGTCATTATATCCACATTACTGGTGAGTATTTATCAAATTTCTCATCATGTAAATAATTTGTGAAAGCACCTACAGTCATTCCTACAATATCGTCACAATATCGATATCGAGATATTTGGTCAGAAATATCATGATATTTGATTTTCTTCATATTGCCCAACCCTACTACAGCTACAGTTCTACTGTTTCTCAAAAATCTTGAACTTATCTTTTGGGTAAAGCATGAGAGAAGAAACAGCTGGCATTTGGCTCACCCTCTCAGTCATTTTTCCTGACATGAGCAGCAGTTTTGGTTGCAGTCGCCCATCTGATTCCCCTTCTCTGTTCTTTCCTCCTGCATGATCTTCCATTGGTCCTCCTCTGTGGTACACTGACCTTGGTTTATGGCTCACCTTATGTGGAATAGGGCAGGCAATTTACGCTTTGCAGCTGCAGTGTATGATATGTGCAATATGTTTCTTTTGAATTCAAACCATAGTTTTGACGACACATACCTTGATGTAAAAAAAATCTTCACTCCGCCCTGACCGGGAGTGGGACAGGCCTTTTGAGGGATGAGAGGTGGACGAGGAGCCCTGAGAGAAGCCGCACCTCAGTAGCTCGTCAAGGCTGCAGCCTCCACTCTTTCTATGAGAATTTGTTCCCTTTCTTAACCTATGTTCAGACGCCTTGCAGTGTTTGCTGTTAAGGCTGTTCCCGTTGACGAGGCTGCTGACACTACCCATGGTCCTGCAGGCATAGGTGAGGGTGGGGCTGAAATCCAGGTGGTCAGATTACACAAAGGTGAGGGGAGGACACAATTCATGACCCCAGAGAAGTACTGTGAGTGGCTCCATCTGCAAGACAAGGCAGGGATAATGCACATTAAACACAGAGAACATAGCTGTTGATCCTTAAATAGAAGGTATTTTTCATGATATGACAAAATGTTACAGTTCTTGTGATGCTTATCAGGTTTCCTTTTTGGTGTTGTTAAATTTTATTGTTTCCTGTTCAGTCCAGGCTTGCAATGTTGAAGCAGGTGTGTTCGCATTTGCAAAACAAACAAAGTGAAAAACAGTCTTTCTTGGCACGCTGCCTGGCTTTGTGTATCTAGATTTATGGCTCGGCCGTTGAATTTGACAAATAACCCTTTGGGTGCCCTTCCTCAAAACAAACTGGCAATTAGGCTACTTACAGCCTACTCAACACTTGGCTGGTGCTGTCACCTGAATAACACTGTACAAACATTTTGGATTTGCCATTGTACTTGAACACAGTTTAGACAGACCACACAGAAATATCAAGTTTTAATAATGTGGCTGGGATTATGAAATACAGATCTGATTAGAGCACAGAACATGGATGGATTTGTGTTGTTAACATTCTCACTTTAAATGCAGGGACATTTATCCATAGAGGTACAAGTGATGCTCTCTGCTCACTGTCCCCACCTCCCTTTTAAAGACAACCAGACCCCAGATGTTGCTAGTCCTGATCTCCAACCCACAGGGGAAAAGACGTGTCTTAGTAGCAAAGGGCTCCATACTGGCTGATCAGCCCTGTGGACTCCCCTAACCACCTGGTCCTCAGCCTTTAAGCATTTCATAATAGCCACACGAACAAAGCAGGGGACTAATGGCCTGACATAAGTCACATATTAGTGTACACTGCATTTGGCTCAAGGCTACTCAATAATTATTGGCTGCACGGTTGTGTTTGTAAGCATACGCATAGCTGTCAGTGTCATTTTACTGAGGTGTTTGATGGGCATGCTTGAAGGGGAAAATGCCGAATGAAGGCGGGAGAGCTGATCAAGGCTGTCACTTTTCATCGCCCGGAAAACAATGATAAGCAAAATGAGACATGTACAAAATAGATGTTTCATCATGAGGAGAATAATAGGAGCATCAGAGACAGACAGCAAGTGAGACAGAGTGGGGAAGTTTGAGTGGTTTTCCACAGAAGAATAAAAAGTTGACAGTTGTCTATTTAAGGTGCATAGAGAAAAAGAAAAGAAAATCCCAAATTGCATTAGGGACTTCCAATCATGAAAGAATCACATAACCGGTTGGAAGTCTTCAGTTTTGATTTTCTGTTTCAGTCAAGATGAAATTCGAAATATATTCTCGAAAGTAAACCCACTGAAAATGTTGAGTAATGGTCCATGATGTTAAATTTGCACCTGCAATAGAACAAAGCAAAGCCATCCCCCAGTCTGTGCCACTGATGTAAACAGTATCTGACATGACTGCCTCTATTCTACTGTGCCTAGATGTCTGCCACTAAATCTAAACTCCAGCCTTCACTATCACTCTCAGATATTAGCATCCTCCACTGACATGGGACTGAAGTAATGAAACAATAGATTGTACTTACTGCCAGGTCAATCTACGCATCCATCTCTAGCAAGGCCCCTGCAGAGTCATCTATTCAGTGCTGGAGAAAGTGAACAGGCAGACATGTGTGTGTGTATGCCCTTGAGTGAACCAACAGTAAATGCAAACCTCACACTCTCACCATGGCCAGGAGGGTCTGCTAACTGTCCTCTGGAGGGGGTGGGCCTTTCGAGTCGGCCTGTACCGAGCTTTGCATTTTAACTGACATGTAAATTTTGCTCTCTTTCTCAGTGTGTGTGTGTGTGTCTGTTAGGGGGTGTGTTTTCTGGGACCTCCCGCTCCCCCCAGGGGAGCCAGTGTACGACATGTGCTCCCATAGAACTGGCGTGTGCCGCTCAAGTGATTAACTCCCAGCTTTCACAAAAGATCTTTTACACCCCCCCATGTACCCCCCTCTTCTCCCCACTATCACCCACTGACACCCTCCGTTTGTGCATCGACTTACTGTGTAATAACCATTCATTCTCCCTCCCTTCTTCCATCAGTCCCTCCCTCCCTCCATCCATCCGTCCCACTCGGTGCCCTGCACCCACCCTGAACAAACAACACTTCATGTGAAGGAGAAAAAAAGGCGCTTGCCCTCTCTCTTTTCGCTCTTGGTCTGTTGAAGTGTGCCGCTCTTTGTGTGGACTCTTGTGTGCCGGTTGATGTATTCTCCCCAAACAGCCCAGGACCATATTTGAGTGTTAAATAAATGACTAGTCCTCACAATGAGAGGGCTGGAGAGCTTCAGTTTTATAGTGATTTACCACCATACTGCCTTTATGCTGTTTGTTCAGACATACACACACACCGACACACTCTCACACACACCTTTTACACGTCTACACAAATAGCACACACTTTCACACAGTCTCATTGCTGGAGTACAAGTCTCTCTCTAAAGGCAGCAGAGCGTTCAGCATCCCACAGAGTACACACTGTTGACAAAACACCTTGTGGATGAAATACAATCGCACATCGCGACAGGAAAATATACAAGGTACTGTGTTCCAAATGAACAAACAACAACAACAGAAGAGATATGGCCCCTAAGCTCTGCTGCTGACACAACAAGTGTAAATCTTGCACCCCATTTTTGTCACGAGTAAAGGTATACTTTCTCTTAATGTGAAGAAAACAGACAGCTTTACCACGCATCTACTGATAGAACACTACTGATTCATTGATATCATCGCACGAAAATCAATAAAGAAATCTATTTGTCAAAACTGAACTAATGGGAAGCTGCTGCTGCGTGATCTTTTCACATGTGCACACAGAATAGCTCTAAAGTTTACATCATATTACATCATACTGTCTGAAAGTTTTCCCCATCAAGTGTTTTCACAGAGACTTTTGACCCACTAATGAAACAATATACAGTATCTCTGTAGATCTACCATAATCTTTTTCAGCAGCACCGCTCACTCATCCTTTCAGCTGACTGCCATTGTTCCTCGATTAGTCTCATTCAGCCCACCGAGCCAGTTTGTCTGGACAATGGTCATCCTGTATCACTTTTATGTTCCCACTCACTTGGTAGAAAGAATCGGTCAATTTCACTTCTATTTGCTGCAAATATTGAAGTGATTTAAAATTCCTTTCATTTCTCCATCACTGCAAATTTTAATAAGCAGCACAAATGATCTGACCTTGCGGCTTTTGAGTGGACAGCGTGATTTAAGACCTTTGGTGAGATGGGATGGGGGGGGATGAGCATGTGTGGATGCATGCATCTATCTAATATTATATCTGATTGGCTCCATGTTTTTTTCTGTGTCTGCACAAAAGAGTGTGCGCACTCGTTTGTTGTGTGTCTTGTGTACGGGCGGGGGTGTCGTCCTGGCTTTCGAGCCCCAGCTGACCTGCCTGACACAAAGCCCTGTCCCGCGCAAGACCAGCTGACAATACACCCCACCCCACCTCCACACACTCAAGCAGAAACACACACACACATAGACGCACACTCCGAGGGCATAGCCAATCCATTACCACAGCCAGTGGAAGGCAGCAGTCTGCTATAAAGCTCCAGGATTTATACCTGTCTCACAATGACCATGAAACTCTCCTCTGTTCTCACTGTACCTCTACACTGCCACGGTGCCAGATGGCATCACTTTAATTCTCACTGTCTATATGGTAATTTCTAACAGATGCATGTGTAATCTATCTAGTTCAGTGTGTCTGTTTTTTTAGGTCAGTCTCAGACAGCTTATGGGTCTTTGTTCATTGTGCCGTCTTAAGCGCTCACAGAATTTCATACACAGTATTTCTTCATTTGAAGGCCCAACCTGGTGAGACACTTGCCATCAGTAACATACTTTTTAGCCTGTAAAGGATCACTCCTCTGTTTTTGCAAGTTTTAACCCATTTACTATAACGTTTTTTGGAACTTGTGGTTGAATTACTGCTAATATAACTTGCAGGACTTGTGAGGGAAGTCTGTTAGGGGTCAAAATTGAAGCAGCATAGGCTGAGAAATCCTGACTTTTAGTCCATATTGGTCATGTTCTAAAATGACTTTAAGCAATTCAGCTGAATGTGATATTTTCTTTAAACTAGGGATTCTCAACTTGCTTTGCATGGGGGCCACTTTTGCAAAATGTCAGGAGGCCAGGGGCTGGTTAATAAACAAACATTAATAATTAATATGTAAATAATTAACCTCTGTTGGGAAGTCCTCCCCTGGCACTTTTTTTTGGTAAACAAGCTGTATTTTAAATGCTATTTCATGCACTCTGGCACCTTATTTACATTCAAAGTACAAAAGGAAACATCCCAGTGTGGATCAATTTATTGTCGTTGTATATTAGAAAATGGTTGGCGGGCTATCTGGCACCGTGTTGCGGGCCAGATTTGGCCAGTGGGCTGTCAGTTGAGTATCACTGCTTTAAATGCTCCATGCCCAGTATACCCATGTGTTTTAAACTCAATCCCTGTAGGATTTCTAATTAAAATATGCTAAACAATAGTCTCAAAGCTTAAGTTAACCTTGATGACATCACCAGGTTTTTTTCCTGACTTTAGCATGCTCCCTCCAGTGCCACAGAATGCACCTGGTATTCCCCATGATGAGTAAACTGATCTTCATGTGTAAATTCATTGGAGTTCCCTTCTAATATTACCCTATTCATGTTCCAAAAGTCCCTTATTCTTTATTTAAAAACATGTTTGTCATATTTTACAGGTAGCCAATCCTTTTGACTGATGTCAGCACAGCATCCTGCAGACTTAAAACTGACTCGAGGCATCTAATCCATCACAGCTGATATTACTGTCAAAGTTAGCTTATCAGTGTGAGATAATGCAGATGAAAGCAGTTTGTTTAGCAAAGGCTTACAGCGTGTTGTGTTCAAGTGCTGGCAGGGATGCCCGGTATCAAAGACTTACAAGAGGAGTCGACCGCTGTAGAGCAACTTTAAAAAAAAAAAAAAAAATCCTATCACATTGACATTTCCACAACGTCCATGTTTAACATCAACATGTGGGCCGGCATAAGCTATATCAAAAGCATGAGCTGTTAGAAAATCCATTGCTGGTTTTGGTCTCTCCAGAGGAATATTAACAAGATCAAATACAACTTTAAAGGCAGAAGTGTGTCCAAATATTTTCCTGTATGCATTATATTAATGCTGTTTTAGAACATTCAAAAGAACTGTGCTAGTAATAAAACCAAAAAGAGCAGTAGGTACAATTCAGATGGTCAAAAAATCTGGTTTGTACCTTTAATTTTAGAGGACACATCAGTCTAACTCAGTCCTTACTATTCTGTTCGATCCTCTAAATGTATGCCGAACACATTGCTCCCAGTGTGATGTAACACGTTAGATAACTGGTATCGATCTGTGGTTCACACAAAGTAACTGATGATTCACATGTAATGAAACAGGCATTTCTCATCATCCCAGGCATGACACAGTGGAAATTAAACTCACAAATTAAAGCGAGGAGGAGCAGAAACAGCTTACGCATGACAGCAGAGAGTATACTTCCACAGAATGATAGGCTGATAGGTTGAATTATTGAGAAGTAATGCTCTGTCTTTTTCTTTGTCATCCTCTGTGGACTCTCGAGGCCCCAGTCACACACACTCACAACACACACACACACACACTTTCTCATCTTGTGTCTCACTCGCTGTGGCTGAGTTGTGGGGATGAGTAATGTGGCCTCCAGCAGAACATCAACTGGGAATGAAGTGTTGGATACAGACAGCCATCTATCTTTCACCTTCACTGCTAACACATCCATCTACTGACCAAGCACGCACACACACACGCTCACGCATACACGCAGAACGGCATCCAATAGTAGCTAATTGGGTAATCCCTTTAGTGCATTGTAAAGGAGATTGAGCATGAATAGGGCTTCAATGCTGAAGAGCAGAATACCAGACACTCATTACCGCCCCAGAGTAAGGAGATGGAATACCAGGCACGGATAGAGAGAAAGAGACAGACAGACATGGAAAGGCAGCGTGTGTGTGTGAGAGAGAAAGATTTATATTCTGTAGAGCTAACATTGCATTATACATTGATGACTATTGTATTGTCCTGCAAACAGTCAGTGTCTCCTCTGTTCTAAGTTTGAGGGGTTTGGATGCAGAGAAAGGCTTAAGAGCCGCATGTTCCCTTGAATCACGGGAGTGAAACATTTATTGCTCATTAATTCGATCTCAGTGTCTTATATTGGCAGCCGTGTGGCCACATCTTTGACTAGAGGCCAGCTTTTAGTGAGGGACCCCCCTGTTCAAATTAGATTGCATTCAGATGCTATTATGTGAATCCAAATGAGACATTAGGTCAACCAAACAATCAACCTCCTTAGGTTTTAATAGATAAGGAGGCTGTATGCACTGCTCACTGGGTTTGTATGGCTGGCGAACTACTGCTCCTGTAGTACAGGCATTTGCATAACCTTGGCAGCTGGAGTATGGAGGAAAATGTATTTTTAATGGAGTCTAAATGGGAGCCTTTAGTGCTGCGACGAGGATGGGAATTGATGCCTACGAATTTAAAGAGTCCTAAAATTAAATATCTGAAATTTCCTTTCATATTCCTTTATTGAGCTGCGTCCATCCATACAAGATTGATTACTGCATTATAATATGTCTCTGCACTTTTATGTAATGCCTCAAACTTATGCAGTAGCCTGGAATCAGTCCAAAAACGGTTTTAAAGAGTTGTACGTGTCTTCAGTTAGATGCTGCAGATCACCGGCCAGCTCTGTAGTCATGAAATATTTACATCTAAGGCTTTTATCCCACTCTAAAAACAGCAAGTGAAAATGCATTGTAACAAATGGAAAGTATTTTTAGACATTTTTGAATTATTGCCCATCCATTACCCAGGAATATTTACCTTTTCCATTACCCACCACTTGTTTTGAACAGGCTGTGTCATTTATGCATGATATGAAAGCCTCATTAATATGATTTTTTTTTAAACTTGATGGATTGTCGTAAAAGCTTTGTTGTGGAGTCAAATTATTATTTGTACAATAATTGAGCTTTCAGCAAGAAAGCCACACTTGCTGTCAAAATGTAAATGTTACATTGGTAACATATTATTCTAGCTATTACTGGTGTCAGATTAGGATAAATGTTTTGTTCTGGTTTTGTTGTGATATTACAATGTCAGATCATAAAATTGTGCTCCAAGTCCAAATAAGAGATAAACATGAATGATGCGTTTTACATAAACACACCCAACCTTTGTATTTCTCATAGTCACTGCACTATTTCTTAAAAGTCTCTTTTATACACTGTATTTTTGTCTGATACGGTATCACAGTGAAATGACATGCAGAGGTAGGTGGAAAAGAATGAGGCCTTTCCTGGCACTGGGGCCCACTGACCCCGCAAGCTGAAGACTCAGTGATAAGGTTGTCATTCTGGAGCATAACCATCCTCCCATCCTCCTAATCTGCTGTGGCTGTGTGTGTGTGGCTGGTGTAATGTGGGAGTAAGAGCAGACATAATGAGCACACTTTCAGTGGTCTATATCATCCTGAAAGCAGCTGGAAATATGTGCTGCATGCAATACCTGTGCTCATCTCCCAAATAAAAGCCTCCCTGACCTTAATGCTAAATTGTTGATTGTGAAACTCTGCGTGGTTCTTTCAACAGTTTAAGGTGTCATAACTCACAAAAGTCACGTCTGGTACTCACTTGCTGTGCTCAGTTGCTCAGCTGATTCACCCACCATCAGAATATAATTCTGCTTTAAAGATGTTTGTATGAATCATAACTGAAAAGCTGGGAAAACTCTGCGAGATCATCCTGAGCTGAGACTCACAAAGATGCTGGGGTGCTGCACTTCTATGACACAGAGACTTCACTCATGAAAGGATGCTGCATTTGGGTATCTGGGACAGTTATTTTAAGAAGCGTCTTCTTTAGCAGGTCATGACGGCTCCGATGGTTTGTCACACGCTACAGATATGAAGCCGAGCTGCATTAATTCCCACAGAAAAGTTGCAAACGTAAAAGATGCGAGAGTGACCTGTGAAGTTGAGATATTTACATCAATGAAAGGGATGCTGCAATTCAGAAGAAAAACAAATAGCTCAGCTACTCTCTGCTGTGACAATACAGGAGACCTGTCTTTGCTACTTTCACACCCTCTCCTTTTGATCCAGTCTCTCCTCTGTGTTTTTCTCTGTACAGTAAGTTAGACTACAGAGTAAAGCTGAACATGCCTGAACAGGTGCCCTATACTTACCCATTCACCTTGTCACCAGCACAATGTACAGCTATTCATGTTCCCCACAGGTCTCAACACATACATTACTCTACACCGGTGTGACAGTTCTCAAGCTGGGAGGTCGTGCAAAGGGCAAATTATACCCTGCACTGACCTTGTGTTGCTATTAATTTTACTGTTTAATAATAAGAATATGCAAGAACGATTTTGCCAACTACTTTAGAGAATCATAGGGTGGGACATGCATATATGAATCCACTTAATTCATGCTTAAAACACCTATAACAACCTGCTCGCTGCCCACTGCCATTTATTTCCCTAAATTGCTGTGTATAGTGTAACATTTAAATAAATCCCAGCATCGCTCCCTGTTATTTTACCAGTTTAAAAACAATGGTTTGTCCGGTAATGGCTGTGCTGAAAGTAAAGAACATTACTGGCACTTTTCTGCAAAGGAACAAAACAACAAGAAAGTTAAAAGTAGACATTTCATTCGGAGCTGGCATGTCCTCAAACACAGAGATGTTTTTACTTTGAGCTTGCATATTAAAAGTAGTAAAAGGCTTGGACTGACTCCATGCTGAGAAACTTTGGTTCAGTCAGAATTTTTAACTAATTAAACAACTGGCATAATTCAGGGTGCTACTAAAATGAACCGAGTCTACATTTTGTTCCTCACTCAGTACAAACATAGCCAAAAAAAAAAAAAAAACTTTATGGGAGCTACATCAAGACCACTTAACAAATCACACACAAATCTGTGGGACCTGTTAGTGTCACCCAAGCTCACCCCTGTTTGAAGTTGCAAAGCTGTGAGCCCTGACTGAGTCTGTGCCGCCAATTGTCCCCTGTCACATCCAGTCAAACAGCCACAACCTTCATTCAAGTCCAGCTGGAGGTGACTTACCTCCATTATAGTTTGCCTGCCCCCACGGTCACACTCACTGTCGCGGCTGCTGTTTCCCAAAACTGTGTGGATCACTGTGGACAAAACACTTCCAGACGGATACTAGTTAGCACACATTGCTGGTGTGGAGAGAAAGAGATGTCTGCTTTGGTTGCTAATCTATCCAGGTCCCCCTCTCACCCCTCTTCAACACCTGGTATGGTGCAATCAGTCCGTCCCATCTCCCATACTCTGAACACATTCCTCCATAAACACGCTCTTTCTCTCTCTCCCCTCCCTCTCTTTACAGTGTATCCTCGTTGCCTCCCTCCTGAACTCCCTCCCACTCTCTCCTTCACTCTGAACATCTAACACTGCCTCCCACCCTCCCTCCCTCCCTCCCTCCCTCCACTGCTCTCCTCATCCACCTCTTACATACATTTCTCTTTACTTGTCCACTATTTCTTTAGTTTATTCACCTTTTCATCCCTTGTTGTCCGCATCCAGCTCTCTCTACCTGTTCCATCCCACTTTTCACCTCGCTTCTCACTCTCTTTTTCTCTTTTTCCTGGCGTCATGCCCAGCGGCTCTGCTATTCATTTTAAGTCACTTCACTGCCTCTGCATGCCTACATACAGCACATCATCCCTGCCCACACTTACTCTAAGCCACACACAATATATGTAAGCCATCTAAATATCTCTGTGCGTGGCTTCAAAAGGTTCCTTGCGTTGTGTGTCCGTTTGTATGACAACATTCATGTGCAGCCTACATACATGTGCGTGCATGTGCACCTGCAAGTAAGCCAATAAGTGGCTGCTGGGCTGATGACTCATCCACACTGTTTCCCACCATGCTCTGCTGCTGAAGATTTAACCTGCTTCACTGCTCCAGCTGACTCCATTGGCTCTTGCACACACAGGAAGCCAGGGGCAGATCTGTTGTGTTTTGGTTTATTTATGTAACAGATGAGTGGAATAAATGATCAGGACTGTAGTGTGCAGGTTACAACCCCACGGTGCAGCCTTGGCAGTATACCCATTTGACATGCAGGTACCTCCTTCCAATTCTCTGTTTTGTCTTTCTGTGTCCATCATTCTCCTGTGCGCCTGTCTGCACGTCTTTCTTCTTGTTATCTTCCTCTTTCTTCCCTCTTTTACAGTCTATGCTCATTTCTCCGTCTTAATCTTTTGCCCCAAAAACTCCCAGCTGCATCACAATTAGAAGTATCAAAACGTTCAGTTTTCCTCACAGTTATATTAATAAAATTAAGTTTTGAAGTTACTTTGCTGCCTGTGAACAAAATGTACACTATTCCTCTTTGCTGTCTGGGCATGTTTGGTGGAGATATAATGACTGTTTTAGACTTCCTCCAGTGTCCCTGGTGTACCAATTTGTCCTTAAATGATACCCCCCTTTTAGTTATCAGCGGTCAGGAACACAGTCAGAGACACTGCTCAGTGGGTGCCAGAGACATGTATATCTGTGTTTAACTGTCTGTTTTGGGCATTTGATACAAGCCTGTAATCTCAGCTGCGACCAAGGTGTATTTGAAGGATCTCATTTCGATACTCTACACTATCATTTCCCCCTTTTTTGTATAGCTGATCACATCCAGGTTATTCATGTGTGTGTCGGCTATTTTGTCCTGTTGTCATGACAAAGTAAGAAGTCGGTGTGCCATTTTCTGTTCACTCTTTGCAGACTTGCCCTCACATAAGCATCTGCCTGTGTGAGCATGAGAGAATGTGTAGGCAGGACTGTGCATCTGGGATTGTGTGTGTGCAGTGTGCACATATAAGTTCATGGTTATTTTAACAGCATGTGGGCTTTGAAAGAGTCTGGTTTTGTACCCCAGTGCAAAGCTATCAATGATGATGTGCAAGGTTGTTAAAAAATAGTTATTGATTATTCATGTGCCCTCAGTGCACTTTGTGTGAGCATAGTGCAAGTGTGTGTGTGTGTTTGTGCGTGTGGGTCTTTGTTTATTTACACTCACTGTCATATAAATCTTCTAGCAGGTCTCTAAAGATTGCATTACAGGAAAACAATTAAGAGATGTTTGTGTTTGGTGCCAAAGTGAATGAACCGGTGTGATTACTCATGTGAGTTTTGTGTTTTCTGTACTTGAAGGAGCAGCTCAGGCTGTCAGACTGGGAATGGGCTGCAGCAATTGATTGGGTTTTATGTCAAATTTGCTCTTCCAGAACGTGCCTCCTTTTCTTGGCTGGCCCCATCTCCCTGCTTATCTTTACTCACCCCCACAGACACACACACACACACACACACACAGATGGAGGAAGATCAATACCTTGTTGAATAAAAAGGCCAAGCATAATGCTGTTGACCCAGCTGGCCCAAGAAACTGACCCTAGTTGGTGTCAGGTGGCCATATGCTGGACACAGCTGAGTTACACACACACTGAGTCACTACATGCACTCACTTCTGACACACTTACACGGACATAAAAACATTATTATGCATGTACACGTAACCTTAAATACATATTCACATGCTATAGGCCCTCAGGAGTTTGGTGAACTAGTGCTATAACAAGCACGCAGAAAGCCACACACAGTCTTTCTCTCCAACACCCTAACACACACACACACACACACACACACACACCGTCGATTTCAAAATCCAATTTCTTATGTAAGCCTGCTCTGTGTTTGCACATATGCCTTTTTTGGCAGACTGGTGGATGTAGGCAGCTGAACGTGAATCCAATATGAATCCATATTACACTGGAGATTAAATACACACTGTCAAGTCCCAATAGTATCACCCATGAAGCAAACATGCACAGTAGCTGTATGATTTACAACCATCATTTTAAGCAGCTATAACTGTCTGTAACATTTCATCCCCAAATGTCTGACAAAGGCTTTTTACAAAATGTTAAAATGAATGATTTTGTTTTGCAAGATGCACAGTTTTCTTTTTAGTGAATCAGTTTTGGGCTTTTTCATCTCGCACCAAATGAGATGAAAGCAGAGTAAAAACATGCCTACTGTTACAAAATGATCGCTGGAACAAAAGCAAAGCACCCTGCTATTAAAGTGGTCTTACATGCGTACGCGCTTTTTTTTTTTTTTTTCCAGGTTTCAATTCAAGGGCAGAGAAAGAGCTTCTTTTAAAATATTAATTAGCAAAATTATTCCAGAATAGATTTATTGAACCCTTCATCTATACTTTACCACAACTATTATCTCTGAAGAATCATTTTTATGGGGAAATATTTCCAAGAGAGATTAAAATAACATTTCCCAAAATATAATCCAAGTCCTTCGTGGGTAGGCTTCATAATGGTAATCGACGGTAATAAATGAAAGCCAAACCTCCTCACCACAGGAAACTGCTACTCTTTTGGGTCGTAAACAGGTAGCAGTGACATTGACGCTCCAGTTTAATTACCGTGAACTACTCCCCAGTGCTCCTTCTATCTCTCTAATAGCATTTCCACTGCTGTCTGAAATGGTTTGTGGGTACTACACAAGGCCCTCCATCATTTAAACTGTCTATTTGGGGAACATTCACCCCTCCAGAGCTTGAATCACTCAGCCCCTCTGAAAAAATTAAGTATGCATTTGTCTGATGTAGGTGCCGCTGCACTAACAAGCTGAATGGCCTTCGGTAATCCTCAGGCCTTGGTCTTTTCTTTCTTTCTGAAGTGCTTCTCTATTTTTTTTTCATCTCCCATCAAGGCTGACAGCTCCACTGTGTATCAGCATGTTCACCTGGGGCTGAACAGAAGGGCAGATAGAGATAATATTGACAGAAGCTGAAGCCAGACACAGATAAATGATGTCACCCTGGAAAAGACAGAGGTGGAGAGAAAAATGGGCAGGAGATGTAAGGAGGGAAGAAGAGGAGAATTTGAGTAAGAAAAGAAGGTAAAGAGGCCGAGGCGAGGTCTGAGTGTACAGAAGTAGGGCTTGAGCTAAAGCTTTATTGATTCTGTTGGTTTTGTCTGTCACCGCCTCAGTTGGCCTATGATGTATGGCTGCTTCATCCTCTGCTGCTCCAGCGAGGGACACAAGTCAGGGAGTCAGGCACTACAGGGACCGCGTGTTACGCTGCAGGTACAGCAGGGGCAGGGCAGCCCTCCGAGCCTCATACATCACAGCTCCACTGAGAGCCTGTGTGAACCAGAGAGAGCAAAAAGAGACGTTCACCTGCTTGTTGACCTGTAAGAACATGGCTTCCCGCTGAACCTGATAAATCTCCAGCGCTCGCTGCCAGACAACCGGCAACACAAACTCGTCATCAATAAATAAAATCCATACACAGATTTGTATTTTCCCTCCGGCATAAATATGTACAACTTGTCCTGCTGGCTGCAAGAGATGAAATGTGGCTATGCACACACGTACACACCCAGAGATTCTCACACTTCAAAGCAGTGATGGCTGTCTCTCTCCGTGCAAGGCAATTTGCTCTCCCCAAGATCTCTCCCACCGTCAGCATATAAATAAGCCTGGCACCAAGCGGTCAGAGCGCACAGTAACAGCCTGTCAGGTTAGATGAGGACAATGAAGTTGTCTGTCCCACACCTGATGAGTGGCAAAGAGTATAGTATGCAATGCACACCCAGATAGTGCATTGTCACTGAGATGTGCACACAGACACATAAAGGGGTTATTAGTATTGATTTAATGTGCGTTGCTCAACTCTGCTAAGCCACCGTTTGATGAGGCTTTAATTCATCAACATACCCTACGTGTTGAAGGTGTTGGGCATGGAGCCAGAGCAAACATTGCCTTCATAGACGAAGAAGAAGAAGAAGAAGAAGGATTACCCGACTTTAGATAAAAGTATAGGGTCAAACACGTACAGATCTACTCATCAATAAACATCTTGACCCCCTGGAAATGTGAAAAAGTGAAAGGACAGGTATGCCTCTAGCGCACACTGAATCCCTGTTTGGAGCTTCCAGCCACTGTTTCACCCTCATTTTACCTCTAGATTTGCACATAATCCTATTAAGTTGCGAGGTTAATAGAAGAACTGTTGCTGATGATTTAAGTTTTTGATGCAGAGGGCGCAGAGACGCAGGGTGACTGTGTGCCCATGTGCAGTGCAGATGGATCACTGCCAAAGTCACCCTGATCCAGCCGTTTTGCCCCCCAGGTGTTTTGTGCATAATATAAATTTCACAAATGAAGTCATCCATCTCTCCCTGTGGTTAACACTTCACAGGCTAACACCAGTTAACTGCTTTCAGAAGTCTTAAGCATCTGCTAATAGGGATTAT